CAGAACCCTACTGCTCATCACCGGCTGGCACAGACCTCAGACGGACGACGCTCTGCAGGTGTCTTATTTCCTGGGCAGCCCCAGAGACACACGGAGTGCAAAGTTCTTGGAAGAGAGAACCCGTGGAACTGCTTTGCAAAGAGTTGCTTTACCTAATGTTCTGAAGTCACTGTGGCCACAAGCCATGAGTCTCAAGTGTTTTCTCTCCCTTCTTACAGGTGCTGCCTTTCTCACGGGTCTCGGCCAGCGGTCTGACCACTACATATGTGCCAGGAAAGGAGGAACCTGTAACTTTTCTCCATGCCCACTTTTTACCAGGATCGATGGCACCTGCTATGGTGGAAAGGCCAAGTGCTGCATGCGCTGACTCTGGCCTGGGAGCGATGGACAAAGCATGCAGAAGTCAAGTGAAGTCTTTGTAACCGCTATTTTAATAAAAGAAGACTTTTTTTTTTTTTTTTTTAAAGCATCCCTCCTTCAGACCAAAATGAATCTTGTGTCTCCTTCTGGAAGACGTTGAGAAAGTAAGGGGGTTAGGAGAGCGGAGCTGGGCCGGGCCACGGAGCCTGCCCAGTACAAGAATGGGAGATGCTGACCACAGCATTTTATCACCAAACCAACAGGCGGGCAATGAGACCCAGGACACATGAGGAGGAAATGCTGCAGAGGAAAGCTTCCCTGGTCCTAGAAGCAACTCAAGGTCATCCCAAACTCAACGTCTTAGCAGCCTGGCCAGGGAAACGGCCCCTGTGCAGAGCCCAGATGGCTGCCTTCTCTCCTCCCTGGGCCTGGGGCAGCGGGTTGGTTCACCTTAGCACTGGAGACCCTGTGTCATGAGGACAAAGCTCCTCCCGTAATTTCCACTCTCGTGCCCAGACTCCCGCTCCACAACCACACCGCCTGGCCGCACACTGCCACCAAGAGCATCTTATGGCCACAACGTCTCATCTCACTCCCTTGGCCTGTAGACACCTGTTGGTGAGGGAGATGGGTCGCCCTCCCTTTTTTCCAATAAATTTTTTACCACTCTTGACAACGCACGTGGTGCTGTGGTCTCCTTATCTGACAACAATCTCATTCTCCACGCCAATACGTTATAAGCACAAATGAAAATCAAACATTGTAAAAACATTATGAAACCAGAGGCAGGTTTCGGCAGAACAGCCCTTGTTTGTGAGGGAAAGGAGGAGGGGAGGCTCACCGGTGTTGTGGACATTAGCCTCCTCTGGGCCTTCTCTGTGACACACAAGCAATACATGGTCAAGGAGCCCAGGACATCTGGGCCTCTCCCTTTCATGAAAAGCTAATAATCCAGAGGCATTCCATTTTGAAAAGAAACCTCGGGCCTGCCGTCAGCTTCCCTCTTCCAGATACGGAAGCCCCCCCGCCACCCAGCAGCATTTCTCTGGGTGTTAAATCAAAGACGATTCCCGGAGGAGCCTTCCCACTTAGGGCGGCCGATGTTTGGGTTTCCCAAGACCCAGGTCCTCAGGCGGAAAAAAAAGCCCACATGCTGGGTTTACCTCACATTCTCTGGTTTACAAGGTTGTGGTAATTTTGCCTGCCCTGCCAGGAGCTCTTCAAGTGACCAAAAGCACATGCTTGGGGATCCCCAGCCACAGAGAGGGAGGGGACCGTCCTGGCCAAGAGGATGCCACCGTCCCCAGAAACCAGAAAAACTAACAGGATTCCTGCAGCCCATCCACCCCTAAGACATGTGGTCCCAGGGCTTCCATAACTATGTGGGTAGCAGTCTTGACTGCACATTTAAAAAATATATTCATTTATTTATTTTGAGAGCACGAGTAGGGGAGGGCAGAGACAGAGGAAGCGAGAGACAATCCCAAGCAGGCTCCATTCAGTCAGCACAGAGCCTGCTGCGGGGCTCAAACTCACGAACCATGAGATTATGACCTGAGCCGAAAGCAGGAGTCAGATGCTTAACCCACTGAGCCACCCGGGCGCCCCATGACTGCACATTTTAAGAGACTGACGCTGACGACATTCTCATCTGCTCTCTGCGCCCCTCCACTCCGCGTTTCCCCCCTCCATCCAAAGGTCCTCTGAGCACATGCACTCACCTGCCCCCGTGTGCCCAGGACATTGGCAGGCTTGGAGCTTACAGAGTGGCCAGAACCCTCTAGACCCGGCGCTCCTGCGATGAGGCCCTTGCTGCTTCTAGCTCCCCCACCTTAGCAGGACCACAGAAGCTTCCCGCCTCTCCCTCCGTCTCCCCCCACGAATGATGCACACTCCTCTCCCTTCTCACCACTACACCCACCGGTGCAGCACCCCCCTCTGATAAGACTCAAATGCAAACAATATCGGCTGAGCCATCCTTGAAGGAAGATGGTTCTAGAGTTAAGGGGCCGTGTACGGTTGTCTACAACCCATTTTACTTCTGAACGGTTGCAAGGACCAATTTCTGGCCCCTAGGATGGCATTTGCGTCGATGAAAAGGAAGCATTGATGTGAATGAGCTCAACAACAGTCCCAGGCCCAGCTTTATTACCGTGGCTGTCCTTAAGGGATTACTGAGTCATGGTCCTTGATAGCCGGTCAACATGCTGACTCCAAGTGGGGCATGTCCACTGAACTAGACTGGTTTTGCACAGATACCCTTCTAAGGAATCTCTCCCACCTCCTAATTACTTTTGCCCTTCAGGGTGCCGTGGTAGATAGAAACCTAGCTTACGCTCAGTGTGTCTGCTCACGAGACCATGGTGACAACGCAGAGGGCACTGTGACTGGCATGTCAACGTGAAATAGTTGGGGAGGGCCTTTACCATCTCTGCAGTGTTTGGGCAAAGCTGGACACCGCAACCTGTATCCTGGGAAAAGGGTGCAACGAATCACTAGGGCATCTTGTCAACCAGCCCGGACACACACGGGAGCTGTCAGCATCTACCTTGGTCACAGAGGTATTTCAGAGAAAGGGGGGATGTCACCTACCATCTAAAACACACCCTAGCTTTGCTTCAGCTTTTTGAAAAAATGTTTATTTGCTTATTTTCGAGACACCGAGAGAGAGGGAGACAGAGAATCGCAAGCAGGTTCTGCACTGTCAGGGCAGAGCCCACACGGGGCTCGATCCCATGAACCGTGAGATCATGACCTGAGGCGAAATCAAGAGTCGGATGCTTCACCGACTGAGCCACCCAGGCGCCCCTGCTTCGGCGTTTGATAGTAAAATCATATGGTCTCATACAGAAAGCAATGTGGCATCGTGATTTCTGTGGCTCATGGGCCCATAAGGCATGTCACCAAATGCAGCAGAGAGATGTATCATGGAATTAGAATGAACCAAAGAAGCATTCTCGCTTCAACGGGCACTAATACATGTTAGCCATTCACGATGTCGTCATAGGTTTCCCCGAAAGGGGTCTCCTGCAATAGTCCAGTACTCCAAGCTTTTCTCTGATAAAAATGAACGAACAGGAAACAACAGGAACTCTTCATGCACATGGGGGTCTTCAGAGTAAAGGTGTCTGTATCAATCAGGGTTCTTCAGAGAAACAGAACCAACAGGATGTGTGTGTAAATATGGAGTGAGATTTACTTCAAGGAATTGGCTCGCACAATTGTGGACACTTGGTAAGTCCCAAATCTAATGGGGCCAGCCAACAGGCTGGAGATGTAGAAGAGTTTCAGTTCAAGTCCAAAGGCTGTCTGCTGGCAGAGGTCCTTCTTTCTTGGGGTAGGTCAGTCTGGTTTAGGAAGGCCTTAACCTGATTGGATGAGGCCCACCCACATTAAGGAAGGCAATCTGCTATACTCAAAGTCCACTGATTTAAATGTGTTATATATACGTTATTTTCTGCCTATTATGTTTTGATATCTATAAAAAATGAAAAACAACAAACAGAAAAACCTTCCTGGTGGGGAAGACTGCCCCTCCCAGGGCTAGTGACTCTTAGAGAGAGCAAAGCCCCAGCCAGGAGCATCCTGCCATGTGTAAAATAACCCATCCAGAGCCACACTCCTCTGTCCGGCCCATGTACCCAAGGAGGCAACATTCTTCCATCTCTGTCGTCCCAGGGCAAGGTCCCAGGCTACCGGAGTCTACCCCTCCAGCCTGAAGCCTTCCGAAATCATTCAAACAAGCCAGTCCCAAACGGTGAATCCTGCCCTGCTTTGCCTTACCCTCTGAAACTCCAGTGAAAGCAGGGGCCTAACCCCTCCCCGCCCTTCTGTATTCTGCCTCCTGGCCATGCAGGCGTCTCCACGGGCCGCCGCGCAGTGCGCTGTGCCTCCGTCTCTAGGACCCGCGAGTGTCATAAACCTTGTGTCCTGGAGCCTCTTCTCAGTCTCCCTGTGACTGCACCTGACTGATCATCTCGGGGAAGACGACCAAACACTCAAGGTCAAGAACGGCACATCCAGTCACAGCCCGGAGGGGACTCAGGAGGTGCCCCACGATGGCCTGGCTGGCTGACTGGCCACCCCCAATGGGCTCTGCCCTCTGCGAAGGCTCAGTGGCTGCTGGTGTTCCATGAGCTGCTCTGCTCTGCGCTGCCTCTTTGGGGCACTGACAAGGCTTCTGGCCTGAAATCCTGGCTCGGCGGGAGGGGAGAGGTCCGCCTGCCCTCCCCCACGAGGCTGAGGCTCGCACCACAGGCTACCACTATCACAGAGGCTCCCCCGTTGGGAGGGGCTCCCCTGCCGGCTCCCTGGGGGTCAGGTGCTGTGGGCTGATCTGTAGGCGGATGAGGGCCGGGTGCCCGTGACATTGCTCAAGCGGATGAGCACCGCGTTCACGTTCATCCTCCTCGTGTTCTTCCCAGCCAGTGAGGGGGTGTTCCTTCAAGGGAAGCCCCGCCACCCGCAGGGCCCCAGGAGGGTCGACGCTGCTGCAGCCCCTTCTCCTCCGCATGTCCTGTCGCTGCTGCACTTTGTATCCCGATCCCACGGGCCGTCACGGGTCCCTTGGGGCTGTGGCTCGGCATTCAACAAAAAAGGGAAAGGAGAAGGAATATTTCGTTCCACGCCCCCTAGAATACCTGCAGAGTCTTCCTGGCTGAGGAAATTGGCCCCCAGGGTAGATACAAGGACTCAATGAGAGAGCTGTGCATAACGCCGACTCAGCGCGACAGAAATCTCCGTTTCCTCTTGTCTTGCTCTTGGAGGTGCAGCTTCGAGGAGGGGTCAGTGGTGAGGAGCCTGGCTGGCCATCTGCACGTGGCCCTCCGTCACCTCGTCCGTCTGGGTCACTATCGAGCTGGTTTTTCTGCTTGTGTGGGTTCAAGCGCCTCCGTCCGTGACAAGGAGTCTGACTCAGGGCTCAATCAGAATATCTGAAGAGGAAGAGAGAAGGTTCCCGCAGGGGGAGACTCAGAAGATCACAGCTAGAGCCATGGGAGTCGAAAGCGAAAAAGACCTCGCAAGCCATTCGTGGTGGGGAATGGGAAGGAGACGATGGTCTGGGCCCCTCTCCACCCCCTCCCGGACCCTTATTCTTCCTCCTTTAAGATCATGCCCAACATGCTAATTAAAGCACAAAATGCTTATGCAGATTCACCCAGCAAACTATCACTGGTTTCACTGAAACATCTCAACGTATCAGGTCACAAACCAAAAGCCGCTAATGGTGTCTCAGTCCCATTCCATCACGTTTGGGAAACTTCCAGTTATTAAAGAATGTCCTCTGGTTATTAAGGCGTAGGCTCATCTATTTTCAAACTTCAGTCTCACATCCTGTTGGACGTTCCTTCCCCGGAACAGGCTACACCTGAGGAGTGGGGTGTGTGAGGGCTGGGAAGGGGGTCCTACCTGGGCCCCTTTCTTCCTCATACTTGGTCCCCTGGATGGGGGTGGGGTGCATTATGTTTGCTCTTCCAGAAGAACACACTTGATTATCAGCCGGGTTTCTGGTCCACTTCCCGACACCGGCTGCTCACCTGTGCTACAGCTGTCCGGCTTCCCCCTTCTGCTGGGCTGCACTTGCTGGTTCTCCGGCGGACCCCAAGGAGCTTCCCCTACCCTGCCCCCCCCGCCCCCCCCCCCCCCCGGCATGGGGCTCAGGCTCCAACTCTCCCCACCAGCCCCCATCTTTGCTATCTTGTCACCCAGTAAGTGGCCTGCTAGAGAAAGGCAACCGGGTGACCTGAGTCCAGCCATTTCCAGTGTCCCTGCCAGAAACGCCCGGATCCTTGAATGTAAACGGCAGGTATGAGGAGCGCCCCGCCAGCACAGCACCACGCGCTCCCTCCCTCGTCTGTCCCCCGTGTCCTCTCCACGCCCCCGTGGCAGGGGCACCCTCTTCACGCATAGCTCCGTGACGCCGCAGCTGCGGACGCTGCACCTGCGGACGCCGCTGCCTCACCTGCCGAAAGGGAGCAGCACACGGTGGAGGTCTGCGCCCCCCTCCCCCCCCCGGGGATGGGGGAGGGTGAGACAGCGCAGCTCCGCCAAGGCTCACCCCGGGGACGTCCCAAAGAGAGCAAGAAACGTTTTAAGCATTTCCTTAAAACACGGTGGCCGGTGGCGACGCAGGGAAAGGAGAAACCGAGGGCAAGAGTGACTGCGTAAGACGCAGTTGGGACTCACCTTCCCTTTCCTCTCCGTTCGCCAGTGAACAGCCCTGCCGCCACCCGGCCAAGAAAGAAGCAGAAGCCAAACACTCAGCGAGGCTGGACATCCCCGCGCCTCCGGGACCGCCTCCAGCGGCTGCTCTTTAGCGGCTTCCCGAAAGCCCCGTCGGAACCCTCCCGCGTGACCACCCAGAGGAAGCCGCCTCATTCGCAATTCTCTCTTCCACCACATTTTTAAGGCAGGAAGCTGCAGGTCTCTAGCTCTGCCCATGAACTCACCGTGCAATTCTGAGGGCGGACCCGCATCTCACCAGAGGAAGCGGAAACCTGCAGGATCTCCTTCTGCAAGGGACCCAGGGGCCCGGATGAGGACTTTGCCCTCTTGGGCGCCATCTAGCGGCACTCAGTGTAACGGGGGCTACCCCTCCAGCAGCATGGTCCGGGCGCTGGGATTTTCTCAATGCCTCAAAGCCAAAGTTCTGAATAACCGACTCTCCATGATCTAATTTCCAAAACCAATCCGCTGAATACGATTTCCCCAAATTACACGTTTTGGCATAAGTTTAAATTGTCTCGAACAATTCATCAGAGTCCTTTCGCCACAAGGCAAAGGAGGATAAGAGTGGGACCAAGGGCAGTCAGAGAAAGACAAAAATCATATGACTTCACTCATATGAGGACTTTAAGAGACAAAACAGATGAACATAAGGGAAGGGAAATAAAAATAATATAAACACAGGGAGGGAGACAAAACAGAAGAGACTTAGAAATATGGAGAACAAACTGATGGTTAATGGGAGGGGTTGTGGGAGGGGGGATGGGCTAAATGGGTAAGGGGCACTAAGGAATCTGCTCCTGAAATCATTGTTACACTATATGCTGACTCATTTGGATGTAAATTTTAAAAAATAAAAAATAAAATTAAAAAAAAAAAGAGTGGGACTAAGGGGTCAAGGACTAGGATGGGGGTGGGGTGACAGGTCAGGGACTAGGATGGGGGTAGGGTGACAGGTCAGGGATCAGGACTGGGGACACAGGATGGTAGATTAGACACTAGCAGGAACACAAGAACAGAAGCAGGAGCACATGCAGAGCAGAGGCAGACGAGACACACAGCACTGGAGTCCGGAACTTCATTAAGGAGAGGATCACAAACTGACCTAGGAAACAGACACGTGAGTGTCTGAATGAACCATGAAGCAGAGACTGGGGGGAAACTATAGCAACAAAACTACTACGGTGAAGACACATGGTACACCTAAAAGTTTCACAGGTGAGACTGAACGACTGGGAAGAAGAGCCTTCAAGGTGACAGGTGAATTCAGGCACGATGTCTTCCATACAGATCTAAACACCTCTTGAGGAATGGGGACCCAACCAGCTCCTGGAGATCCCTGTGCATCAAAAAATCCCAGGTGACTGTACTGATCACCGTGGGCTGCAACAGCAAACGTCTGCACATCTCAGTGTCTTAGCGGAGCCAGAGGTCTGTGTGCACCTGGCTATGCGGCCTCTTCCCCGGGAGGCAGGCTGGTTCCACGCATCTCGCATCCGAGACGCACGGGTCCCGGCCGGTGGCCGCCGCTGGCACGCTCTCCTCATGGAAGCTGAGTGCCGAGGGGCTGAGCTGAGACATGACGCAGTCACTTCGTCCCCGTTGGCATCCGGTCAGGCCCTGAGTCAGCAGACGGGATTGTAAACTGCATCGATTGAGAGGCATTGCAGAGCATGGCTAAGAGAAGGCATGTTAGAGCATGTATTAGCCATGATTTTCATCTTCCCTACCCAGATGCTTTGATGCTGGGGCCTTGATCACCCTGTAGGGAACCCCCTCCCAGAGCTGGCCATTTCCTAGGGACGGCAAACAATTGCCCGTGGACTTTTCTAGTGCAAACCACCCAGTCCAGATCCCACACCCCAACCACCTCCTCCATCAGGCTCTCACACCCCAGGCCACTCTCCACCTGCCCTACAACCCCAGGGCAGGGGCCAGACAAGGAGGGGCGGCCCCAAGCCCGGGAGGCCGCCGGTTGTTCGGACTCCCCAGTCCTAAACCTGCATCCCTTGCCTCATCCGCTCCTTCCCGTGGAAACCCCAATAAAGACCCATGCCCACAGTCCCCTGTGCCTTCTGCCCGCTCTCTGGCCCTGCTCCCCACCCCAGATGTTCCCAAGTGGTATACCCTTCCTCATGGGATCGGTGAACAACAAACTATCTTTTCAATGGCAACAGTCTCCTGATCTGTTGGCCTCACTGCATCTCAAATTTTCTATCAATTCACTGTATTTTGAGGCAAGGAACAACCTCATCTACCAGAGCATCTGTTGAATCAGGCTGTCCTTAGGCCCATGGCTGGGAGTACAGACAGCATTAAACTCCCCTCAATGATTCAGGGTGAGGCACGCGCCTCAAAAACGGATCCGTGGCCAACACGACACCCGGAGAAGCCAAGCGAAACCCTGGCTTTTTTTTCCTCCCGGATGTTAGTTAATGTTAGTTTGTTATTAACACGTCCAGTGGAAACTGCACCTACGAATTCCACCACCTTGTTTGCTAGCTCTTACAAAATAGTAGACCACGGCAATTTGTTTAGACCCAAGAAATAGACACCAGTGATGGAATCGCCCATTTATGGGTTCCTCGAGGGCAGTGGCCAAGCCATGCACTCTTCCCTCACTTTCCCAAGGTCTCGCGAACCTCACTGCACGGTATAAGAGACTGCACCTGCTTCCCCTGGGGGACATGGCCTGGTGTGTGAGAACAGAGGGGCACGGCCATTGCTCCCAACACACGCCATGCCCTGCAGACCTGCAGATCCCAGAGGGGGTGTTTCCAAATTCACCCACAGCAAAGCACACCCGTGAGCTTGGGCCCGGCCTCTGTGACCTCTCACACCTTTCTCTGCTCATAGTGGCAATTTGTGACCTAAAATTCGAGAAGACAGGATCAAAGAAGAGAAAGCACACCCCCGCCCCCTCGGTCCTTCATTTAGGACACAGGTGGCTTTTCTCCATGCTCATGCTCTGTTCTAAGTGTCACACACTTACCAAGTTGAGCTGTGGGTTCCTCTACTTACAGGGAGACCGTGTGTAAGCACAACTCTGTGATGTGGAGAAAGGTGGAAACCATGCACATTTCTCAGCATTTACTCTCTCCCACTGGGTTTGAGGTGTTTCATGTCCTCTCCTGCTGTGACCATATAATCAGATTTTCTACAAATCTGCAATCCAGACTGTCCCATCTGTGGATCCTAGGAAGAGATCCCTTAAGAGCAAGGCAGATGGGGTTAGTTTCTTATGCATAGTTAGCTCAATGCAGCAACCAACCTAGGAGCTGTCTTAATGCCATTAGAGTTTGAACACAGTGTCTATCGAATCCACACTGGGTATTTTAACAAAGAGAATTTAATGTGGGGAACTGGCTAAATGAACTGGGAGAAATGGAAAAGCCAAAAAGGCACAGCAGCTCCCACCCCAAGGACTGGGAGAAGAGAGAGAGCTCGGGGCTCTCAGAAACTATAAAGAGCCCCACACGGCCAACACTGCCACTCTGGTGCCTCGTACGGTGCCATGTGCTGGTGCTGGGGATGCTGCACCTTCCACTTCTTCATGGAGAAAGTAGCAAAGTCGTATGGCAGAAAGGTGGGCACCTGAACATGGAAGGAATCTGTGGTTGCCTTTTCCAGTCTAACACAAAAGGGTCAGATGCAGGGTAGGGCATTTACACATTAGCAATACACAATCCTTCAGTTTCTGAGATTTCTGCACGACCCCATGCCCACTCACCATCTGTCATCCCATCGCTATCATTTGGGGTGGGAACTGCTATTTTCTGACTGAAGGCTAGCCTCCAGGGACAATAAACCTTTTCTCCATGATGTTTTCCACTTTTCCTTTCAACACCACCCCCCCCCCCCCCACGAAGCTTCAAGGAAGGACACATTAACTGTGGCTCTTATTCAAACTGCTGCTGTCCCAGGAGACATACCCTCCTTCAAACTTCTAAGTCATTGGATTCTTTTTGTAATGTACAAAATATAGGATACATGTATATCCCTCAAATAATACCTGGGAATTAAGGAAAAAATTTTTTTTTCTAAACATGAAATGAAGAAAGTATGGAATACCAGAATGATCTCTCCCCAACCATAAACACTCTCTACCCCCAACACTAATTTCTATACCTGATTTCAATTTTATATTCCTCTTCTAGTAGAGGACAGTCCTGCTTCCAACGTGTACAAATAGCAATATACTGCCTTTTCAGGAAAACCAGAAAAAGGAGGATCTGGGAACTGGAGGTGAATAAAAGGAGAGGCTGTAGTAGACAAAAGGGACTTTTGTCAGTGAGGTTTTGGGGAAAATGAAGCTGAAGGAATGAAAACCCAGGCTTTAGAATTGCCCCCTTGTATCGGCTTCGAGGGAAGACAGTTCAAGAGGTTTACAGGAGGTTGTGATCTCCGGTACTGCAGCTGAGTCTCTGAAGCAGGGAGACACCTAGAGTGCAGAATTTGCAGTTGTGATGAGAAAACCAGACACGCACTGACAAGTGAATGGAAGCGGCTGTGGTAGGACCGGGAGCCTCTTAGGACAAACAAGCATGCTCTTCACTGAAACAAAGCATTTCATGACAATCAGTGGAGCCGTAGGGAAGAACCCAAGATGTCTTTGTGGCTTCAGTGGCTTTAGTTTGGCAAATAAGTATCACAGTAGGTAATCACTGTAGGTCTCCTTGCTTTGTAGATTCACTGGGTGGTCCAACTCCATGCTTCCCCTTCAAGATGGTAAGTTCTTCCACTGTGGCTTTTCCTACTACAGGGCTTTTGGAGGGAAGGGGGCAGTAGTCCATCGAATTAAACCGGTGTGATCAGTACAGCAAGATCCTACGGAAGTGGCAAACGTGTCCTTGACTCAAGAATGGTGGCTGGAAAACTCCCCCCAGAATAAATAGAAGGAATAGTTTGGCTAATTGCCTGCTTTAGGCGTTAAAGACCCCAAATTCATCATCACCACCAGCATGCCTGAATACCACTTCTTCCATAAATTGTACCGTAAACAGCACACGGATATAGGTGGACTGACGCAGCTTTCCCTCCTGCGCATTGCAATCTTGGTTAAACCTCAAGCCCATCTGGAAAAAGTGTGAGGACAGAGATGAATTTGAGGGCGAGACGCAGAGGAAGATGCCAGTTAACATCCCCTGTGAATTTTCAAAAAGACCAATTAACGCCTCCATCCACACAAACGCACTCTGACTAGTGGTTAACAGGGCTGTCCTTCAGCGGCCCCCGGAGGCCGTGACCAGTTTAACCGTCTCGTGACCAGCCTACCTGCAGTCACATCGACCACGAAGTACCCCTCCAGGGCCCCTCACCAAGTCTGGGCAACGGCAGAGAAACGCTGCTGCCCCTATGGAGAGGCCTGATCTGATTTGTGCTTGCCCACCCAGGCACCAGAAAACTCAGTGCCGCCGCGCCTGGCTAGCAGCCAGGGAGGAACCGGCACGGACCCCGAGCCCCTCCCGCCCCCCGCCGTCGGTTCTGGGGCCGGAAGCCTCCCCGGCTCGGGGGGCGGGCAGGGGAAGGGGCGGGGGCCAGGAGGCGGCCCGGGCGACACCGAGGATGCACGCGGGGGCCCTGGGGCTCTCGGCCCTGCTGCAGGCGGCCGAGGAGAGCGCGCGTGAGTGCCCACCCCGCGCACCCCTCCTGCCCCCCGACCCTTCCGGACTCCCGCGCCACCCCTGCCGCGGCGGGCAGCCTGCCCCGGGCCCGCGCTCAGCTCTGCGAGCAGGTGGCACCCCGCCCCCGCCCCGTCACCGTCCTAGGTGGGACCCCGCGTATGCACGCCCGCCCCCCACCCCGCCGGAGCCTGGGCACGTGCATTCCGCCCTTCCCTCCGCAAAAGCCCTTCTGAACTCAGCGGGGGCTGAGGCGCGAGCTGTGCCGTGCGCGGGCCTGATCGCGCCCGACTCTCCCGGGCCCGGGCCGGCCTGGGGGTCTCGGCGGCGGGCGAGGCGTCCGCGTGGCCCCGGGGGACAGGGGGTCCGCCGCGGGGTGCAGGACCGGGCCAGACGCGGCCTGCTGGGGGCAGACGGTCCCGCCACGCAAGATGGCAACACCGTTTAGCGCCTTTGCAGTTTGAACTTGTAACTCTTTCGGCGCCGCGGAGGAGGCCCCGCCCACTTCCGCCAGGCTCCGGGCAGAGGCTTCAGCGGGGAGGCGTGGGGTTTAATGGGGCCCCGGCCTCCAGACCCCAGGACCCCCGCGCCCTTCGCAGCACGCACGCGTTTGGTGACCCCGGCCCGCTCCGGCTCTCGGCCTTCCCCTTGGGAGCGAGTTGTTGCCTCCGGGTCGGCGGGGTCTCAGCTTGAACCGCTGTTCCTGTGGGTCCCTCTGTGGCGTCCCCGCTGCGCTGTTTCAAAGGCTCCTTGGCCACGCACCCGGGAGGAGCCCGAGTGAGGGCTGCTGCAAATGTCCCGGGTCTAGCGCCGCGACAAGCAGGCATCAGACACAGGACCCCCATGTCAGTACCCACCTTCGGCGGTCCCGCAGACCTTGGTCCCTCCTTCCCGCCCAGCCAGGAACAAACTAGGGCCACAGCATTGCTGGACCTAGGCAGGGCGGTGACTCCTCCTGAGACCCAGAGACTTTGTACCGGAGACCCTGTTTGCCTCGGTGGGACGAGGGGGTGGGGAGCAGGAAGCCCAGGGTGGTCGCAACTCCCAGACAGAGCGGGGGGGGGGGGGGCGGGGGGGCAGGGAATAGCCGCTCTGCCCCCTCGGTCCAGACCTGCAGGGTCCTGTCTGGACCTGGGGCAATTCCACTACAGTTCACAGCATTATGTGCCCATAAATCCATCTTAAACTTTAATATTGGAAAACGCAAGCAATGATCATATAAAATGATTATAGTGAATTAGTGCATCTACTAGCCCCGGAAGCTTCAAGCACCACCACCGCCCCCCCCAACTTCATTGACTGAGACTGCAGATCGCAACCTAGATTTGTCTAACTCTCCTCTGTTACTCTACCCTAGCATCCTCCAATATTAAAAAAAATAAATCCCCAAAGAGGAGGATTCGCATTTAAAAAAAAAAATTTTTTTTTAATGTTTATTTTTGAAGGAGAGAGAGAGAGCATGAATGGAAGAGGGGCAGAGAGCAAGGAAGACACAGACTCCCAAGCAGACTCCAGGCTCTGAGCTGTCAAGAGCCCCAGGTGTGGCTTGAACTCATGAGCAGTGAGATCATGACTCACTGAGATCATGACTGAGTCAAAGATGCTTAACGACTGAGCCACCCAGGTGCCCTGAGGATTAGCACTTTTTAATGCACATAGTAGGGGCCAAGTATTTGGTGTGTGCTGTCCTATGCAACCCAACAGCCCCTCTGTATGACCATGTGTCTGATCTCTTGGGTCCGCTGGAACTTCCTGGTGCCCTCACTCCACCTCACGCCTGTCCAGAACTCTGGTGGGCTCTGCCGGCTCCTGGGCTGGGCCGAGTGGAGAGCCCTTTGAGTTTTGGGGATGCAGGGTTGGCGGTCATTTGTTCTTCCTCGAGCCTTCCATTCACCCTCGTCTTTCCTCTTTCATCTGCAGGCCTCTGCTCCGTGGTTTACTACTTCATCACGGGACAGCCCCTCTGGGGGTGGCTGGCCCTTTCTGTGCTGCTGCCTGGCTTCTTGGTCCAGGGCCTGAGCTATCTGTGGTTCCGAGCAGATGGACATCAAGGTCATTGCTTATTGGTCATGCTACACCTCCTTCAGCTCGGCGTGTGGAAGCGGTAAGAACAGGCAGCCTCCTTTCACCTCTGGAGCCTGATTTCATACATGCGGTAGGAGCGGACATTTTCTGTCCTTAGGGTCGTAAACGTTCAGGGCTGGGAAAATGCTCAAGGCCACCGCTTTGAACCCTTGCTCTGATACGGGCATCCCCTCTTCCAGCTGGCCCTTCCTTGAGCATCTCTATCATCAGAGGGCTCCTTCCAGAAGCAGCTGTGACTCTTTGAGAGCTTTTTCTTTGCTTTGGCTGAATTCTGTCTTGCTCTTGTTTCCATTTGTTGGTCAAGGCTTTGGAGCCGTAGAAAGTGACTGGCTTCAGGAAGTTGCATTTAAGCCCCTACTACCTTAGGTGAGGAAGGTGATGTAGATTTAACCACAGACTAGGCAGTAGGACTGGCCTCGTTATGTTTGCATCAAGGCTTCATTTCAGGATGAAGCCATTTGGGAGCTAGTTTTTTGTTTTTGTTTTTTCCCACACAAAAAAGCAGCCTCAGTGGACCTAGTTAGTGCCCAATAGCCTTACCTGTGGTTCACCTCTGCAGGTAAGATACTGTTTTCCCTGGGAGTACCTCGATACCTGGAGGGTCAGGAGAGATCTGGCAGGGAGTTTAGGTAAATGGCAAATTTCAGCTCTTAGCCACCTCATAATCCCATAGCTGCCAGGAATTTTTTTAAAAACGGGAGATGGGGGGCGCCTGGGTGGCGCAGTCGGTTAAGCGTCCGACTTCAGCCAGGTCACGATCTCGCGGTCCGTGGGTTCGAGCCCCGCGTCGGGCTCTGGGTGATGGCTCGGAGCCTGGAGCCTGTTTCCGATTCTGTGTCTCCCTCTCTCTCTGCCCCTCCCCCGTTCATGCTCTGTCTCTCTCTGTCCCAAAAATAAATAAAAAACGTTGGAAAAAAAAAATTTTTTTTTTTAAACACTAAAATGGATAAGGGAAGAGAGTCATGAAAGTGAGACCTCAGGAGAGACAACTTGTCATCTGTATCTCTTTTTATTTAAAAAAAAGTAAGTTTAAAGGGAATTTTTAAAAACCCACATAATTTACAAGGACAAAATAAAAAGACATGAGAAAAGCCAGGAAGAGGAACGATAATGCTAGAAAACAGGACAGAGTGAAAACGGACAGTTGTTCACGGTGAGCCACAAATTTGACTCCCTGTCTTATAAACAGCCCGTGCAAGCAGAAGCTATGAGGTTTGCCGTGTTTCCGAGATCCAAACACACAAACAGAAATCCACCTCCATAGAAGAAAGCTTCAAAAGTAGAAGTAGAAAGCAGCCATTCTGCATCTCATCCTGGGTGGGCCAGTTGGGTTTCCAGAGAGAAAGCTGGGTGAGGTGGGGTCCTTATTCTAAGTCTACCCTAAATTTTGCAAGACTGTCTTAAAGCCTGCGAAGAAGCCTTTCAAGAAAAAGTGCAGTTTTCCGAAGCACCTGTAGGGGGAGCCAAAACAATTGCATTTGGCACAATCCTGACTGGCCTTTAAGAATGGATCACACTTTAAGTGACTTTATAACCCAATGCAGAAGAATCTGCTAAGAACAGGAAAACTAAGAAAACACAAACCTCTTGAAGCAAAGTAGCTTATGAAAAATACAAGAGCTTAAAACATATATGTATTTTTTTATTCCAAATGATATATACTATATTGATGGGAAGTCTGATTCTATTCAAGTGACCCTGACATTCGTGACCCTTTGTTTAAACAAAATCAGCCACTTTTCTCCATTTAGCTTTTACATTTCCACTATAATGATACATGTTGCGGACATCTTTTTTAAAAAATGTTTAAGCCTGTGAATCCATTTGGAACCTCAGCATGAAACAATGGAGGACTGTGTAACTCATCCCAACCTTAGGACCTGTCCTGGCTTAGAAATTTTTCTTTAGCGGAAGCTACAAGTTCTTAAAAGGGAAGTTGAGGTGAATTTTAAGGTTACGTCTATTTAAAAGTATGTAAAATACAGCCATGCTCAACCTCCCTCGTCATCAGGGAAATGGGAATCAAAACCGCCATGAGGTACCGCATCACACCTGTCACGATGGCTAAAATTAACACAAGAAACAACACGTGTCGGCGAGGATGTGGAGAAAGGAGAACCCTCTTGCGCTGCTGGTGGGAACGCAAACCAGAGCGGCCACTCTGGAGAACAGGATGGATTTTCCTCAACAAGTTCAACAGGATTACCGTGTGGTCCAGCAATTGTACTTCTGGGTATTTCCCTAGGAAATTGAACTCCAAGGAGTTGAAAGCAAGGTCTGGAAAAGATATTTGCATGCCCATGTTCATGGCAACATTAT